AGCTATGGGACCATATGACATGATCTTAGTTTTTTTAATATTGAGTTTTAAGCTGACTTTTTCACTCGCCTCTTTCAACCTCATCAAGAGGCTTTTTAGTCCCTCTTCACATTCAGCTGTTAGAGTGGTATCATCTTCATATTTGAGGTGGTTTATATTTCTTCCAGTAACCTTGATTTCAGCTTGTAATTCACCCAGCCTGATATTTTGAATCATGTGCTCTGCATATAAGTTAAATAAACAGGGTGACAATAAACAGCCTTGTAGTACTCCTTTCTCAATCTTAACCAGTCAGTTGTTCCATATAAGGTTCAAACTGTTGCTTCTTGACCTGCATACAGGTTTCTCAGGAGACAGGTAAGGTGGTCTTGTATTTCCATCTCTTTAAGAGTTTTCCACAATTTGTTCTGATCCGCAGAGTCAAAGGCTTTAGCATAGTCAATGAAATAGAGGTAGATCTTTTCATTTTGGAATTCCCTTGCTTTCTCCATGACCCAGGGAATGCTGGCAATTTGATCTCTGGTTCCTCTGCCCTTTCTAAAGCCAGCTTGAACATCTGGAAGTTCTCAACTCATGTAATGCTGAAGCCTAGCTTGGAGACCTTTGAGCATAACCTTACTAGCATGGGAGATGAGTGCAACTGTCTGCTGGTTTGAACATTCTTTAGTATTGCCCTTCTTGGGAACTAGGATGAAGATTGACCTTTTTCAGTCCTGTGATCCCTGCTGGTTTTCCAAATTTGCTGACATATTATGTGCAACACTTTATTTTTTTTTCCGTTTATTTTTATTAGTTGGAGGCTAATTACTTTACATCATTGCAGTGGTTTTTGTCATACATTGACATGAATCAGCCATGGATTTACATGTATTCCCCATCCCGATCCCCCCTCCCACCTCCTTCTCCACCTGATTCCTCTGGGTCTTCCCAGTGCACCAGGCCTGAGCACTTGTCTCATGCATCCCACCTGGGCTGGTGATCTGTTTCACTATAGATAATATACATGTTTCGATGCTGTTCTCTCGAAACATCCCACCCTTGCCTTCTGCCACAGAGTCCAAAATTCTGTTCTATACATCTGTGTCTCTTTTTCTGTTTTGCATATAGGGTTATCGTTACCATCTTTCTAAATTCCATATATATGCGTTAGTATACTATATTGGTGTTTATCTTTTTGGCTTACTTCACTCTGTATAATGGGCTCCAGTTTCATCCATCTCATTAGAACTGATTCAAATGAATTCTTTTTAATGGCTGAGTAATATTCCATGGTGTATATGTACCACAGCTTCCTTATCCATTCGTCTGCTGATGGGCATCTAGGTTGCTTCCATGTCCTGGCTATTATAAACAGTGTGTGCAGCACTTTAATAGCATCATTTTTTTTAGGCTTTAAAATAGCTCTGCTTGAATTACATCACCTCCACTAGCTTTATTGGCAGGAATGCTTCCTAAGTCTCACTTAACTTTACTACACAGTGTCTGGCTCTGAGTGAGTGACCACACCATTGTTATTTTTTGGGTCATTAAGATCTTTCTTGTGCAGTTCTTCTGTGTGTTCTTGCCATCTCTTCTTGATCTCTTATGCTTCTATTACGTCTTTACCATTTCTGTCCTTTATTGTGATGATCTTTGGATAAAATGTTCCTTTGATATTTCCAACTTTCTTGAAGAGATCTCTAGTCTTTCCCCTTCTGCTGTTTTCCTCTCTGTATTGTTCATTGAAGAAGGCCTTCTTGTCTTTCCTTGGTATTCTCTGGAACTCAGCATTTACTTTGGTGTACCTTTCCCTTTCTCCCTTACTTTTTGCTTCTTTTCTTTCTTCAGCTATTTGTAAAGCCTCCTCAGACAACCAGCCTGCCTTCTTGAATTTCTTTTTCTTTGGGATGGTTTGCACTACTGCTTCTTGTTCAATGTTCTTCAAGAACCTCTGTCCATAGTTCTACAGGCATTCTGTTTACTTGATCTAATCCCTTAAATCTATACATCATCTCCACTCTATATTCATAGTGAATTTGATTCAAGTCAGTACCTGACTGACCTAGTGGTTTTCCCCACTTTCTTTATTTTAAGTCTGAATTTTGCTATAGGGAGCTGATGATCTGAGCCATGGTCATTTCTGGGTCTTGTTTTTTTCTGACTTATTTCAGCTTCTCCATCTTTGGCCACAAAGAATGTAATCAATCTGAATTTGGTATTGACCATTTGGTGATTTCCATGTGTAAAGTTGTCTCTTGTGTTGTTGAAAAAAGGGATTTGCTATGACTAGTGGATTCTCTGGGCAGAATTCTGTTAACCTTTGCCTTGTTTCATTTTGTATTCCAAGGCCAAACTTGCCTTTTACTCCAGGCATCGCTTAACTTCCTACTTTTGCATTCCAATCCCTATGATGAAAAGGACATCTTTTCTTGTTATTAGTTCTAGAAAGTCTTGTAGGTCTTCATAGAACTGGACAACTTCACCTTCTTTGGCACCAGTGGTTGGGGCATAGACTTGGATTACTGTGATGCTGAATGGTTTGCCTGGGAAATGAATCAAGAACACTCTGTCATTTTTGAGGTTGCACCCAAGTACTGCATTTTGGACTCTCTTGTTGATTGTGAGGGCTACTCCATTTCTTCTATGGGATTCTTGCCCGCAGTAGTAGTTATAATGGTCCTCTGAATTAAATTCACCCAGTCCCATCCATTTTACCTCACTGATTCCTAAGTTGGTCATCTCCATCTTGACCTTGACTAATGGACTTAACATTCCAGGTTCCTATGCAGTAAGGTTCTTTAGAGCATCAAATTTTACTTTTATCACCAGAAATATCCACAGCTGAGCATCATTTCCACTTTGGCCCAGCTGCTTCATTCTTTAGGAAGCTATTAGTAGTTGTCCTCTGCTCTTTCCCAGTGGCATACTGGCCACCTCTGACCTGGGTCATATATTTTTGCCTTTTTATACAGTTCATGAGGTTCTCACAGCAAGTATACTGGGGTGGTTTGCCATTCCCTCCTCCAGTGGATCATGTTTAGTTAGAATTCTCCACTGTGACCCATCTGTCTTGGGTGGCCCTGCACGGCATGGCTTATAGTTTCATTGAGTTATGCAAGCGTTTTTGCCATCATAAGGCAGTGATTCATAAAAGCGTTTTAACTGTTAAACCCCACCAAAAATCTTTTATTCTTCTTGTTCTCCAAGAGGAAAAACAAAAAACAAAAAAATAGACAAACCATATTTTACACTGTGTCATTCACAGGGACCCTTTAGGAATGCCTCCCCCCCCCCCCACCGGCCCTCCTCCTCACTACCCAGTCCCCACCCTTACTCTTTATTGTGATTTTGAGCCAGCTCTTTCAGAGAAGCCTTGGCTTAAGTCCAGAGAACCAAGCACATGCCCAATTGCATTTCCCTTGCTCCTTTTAATGGGCTCATGATCTGCTGTTTCTGATGTAAAGCCAAAGTGACAACTTGACACAGAGAGGAATTTATGTTGTTTCCTTTGGGAATGACACCACCGTGTTTTTGAAGCTGCTCTAATCGTGGGACATTTTGTTTACATCGATCTGTCAAAGCATTCCCAAACAATACAATGATGCTTTCAAACTTCATTTTAGCTTTCCAAAGGCAGGAACAAATAATGGCTTTCCTGTCTCACACCCATGGCTATAACAGACTCCATTTGTTGTTATTGTTTAGTGCTAAGTTGTGTCCAACTCTTTTGCGACCTCATGAACTATAGCCCACCAGGCTCCTCTGTCCTTGGGATTTCCCAGGCAAGAATACTAGAGTGAGTTGCCATTTCCTTCTCCAGGGGATCTTCCCAACCCTGGCAGAACCTGAGTCTACTGATTGGCAGGCAGATTCTTTACCACTCAGACACCTGGGAAGCCCCTAGAAGTGACCTACTAGTGAAAATCAATGTTTCAGGAGTGAATCCGTGATTGAGTCTTTGATTCCCCTCCCCCCACATATTCTCTCCTGAACGAGTATCTGATTAAATCAATTCATCTGGTTATATGTGAAGATCTAATCAGGATTTTCCTGGGGGGGGGCAGTCCCAAATCTAATCAGGCATTAATTTCTGATTGGATGGTAGCAGTTGGACAGGGAAATGATGTGATCAGAAAGGCTTATAAAAACTTCAGGCATCAGAGAAGAGGTGCAGAAGTTTCTTTCTCTGAAGTCACTACCTAGGATCTATCTGAGCACCCTGCCAGCCACAGCAGAGCTGGTAAGTTACAGACCTCAGCAAAGGATACCCTCATCTTACCTATGGTCAGCAGGTTTCCACTGGTGGTGTGCAGCTATGGATGTCAAGGAGATTTTCCTCTTCCTTTCTTTCCAGATGTGTAAGTGTAGGGCTTTGGTTTTGCCTCTAAGTATAATTTTGCCTTAATCCCAAACATCTGAATTTGTGCTTTGGTTTATGTCATTTAAAAATATCTCGATCAACAAGATTTTACTTTTCAAAGAAAACATCTAAACTTTTGAAATTTTATTTCTCAACATTGAAAATAGTTTGTGCAAGTAGCATTCATATAAGGAGTATCTGTTTCATCTTTCCCAGCACATTAACTGTGGGAACTGAGGGTAAAGGCTGTGTTGGGCTACATGAAACTATTATTCCCATAGTTTTAAGGCTCTAAGTGATGATTTAAAGCTTTCTCCCCCATAAAAAGATGGAGCTTAACATTCAGATCATGGTACAAGTTTCCCATGAGCAAAGTAGTGGATGGAAATGGATGGACTAGTGGGTTGTGTTTCTTCCTCCTTGGTCCTTCCTAGATGCTTGTTCTGGTGCCTATAGGGGCAGAGCTATGGTTTTCTGCCCACTGAGCCCAGAGTGAAATTGTACAAAAACTGAGGATCTCCCTCGACTGCCAGAGCAGTGATTTTGACTGTTAGTTCCTCTGAAGGGTGGGGAGACAGATGAAGGGGTGTTCATGCTTACCTGAGAAAGATGCCTTGTTCCCTGTAAGTTCTCATAAGATTCCTTTAGGAGCAGATTCAGGATGAGTGTCCAGAACCCCCTGAGAGTCCAGAACCTTGCAGGAAAGAGCCTACTAACCGATGAGGCCTTGGCCATTTCTGCTCTGGAGTATCTGCCCATTGAGCTCTTCCCCCAACTCTTCATGGAAGCATTCTGTGGAAGACACAGTAAGACCTTAAAGGCCTTGGTGCAAGCCTGGCCCTTTGTCTGCCTGCCTCTGGGGGGCCTGATGCAGACACCTCATCTGGGAACCTTACCAGCAGTGCTGGATGGCCTTGATGTCTTGCTTGCACAGAAGGATCAGCCCAGGTGAGTCTGATGCAGGTAACCTGGTAGGATATGGGCAGTCCTGAAGAGACAGCCGAAGTCAGGAGTGAAGAGAGTGAGTTGCTCGGTCATGTCCAACTCCGTGAAACCCCGTGGACTGTAGTCCATGGAATTCTCCAGGCCAGAATACTGGAGTGGGCAGTCTTTCCCTTCTCCAGGGTATCTTTCCAACCCAGGGATTAAACCCAGGTCTCCCGAATTTCAGGCAAATTCTTTACCAGCTGATCCACAAGGGAAGTCCAAGAATATTGGAATGGGTAGCCTGTCTCTTCACCAGTGGATCTTCCTGACCCAGGAATAGAACCGGGGTCTCCTGCATTGCAGGCAGACTCTTTACCAACTGAGTTATCAGAGAAGTCAGGAAAGTAGATGGCAAATCGATGGGCCAGTGGCCTCTGATGATGCCAATGAAGAAATAGAGATTTGACCATTGCTGAGCTCACTTTGAGAAATACCAGGTAGCACTAGTGGTAAAGAACTTGCTTGCCAATGCAGGAGATGTAGGAGACATGGGTTCAATCCCTGTGTCAGGAGGATTCTCTGGAGGAGGGCATAGCAACCCACTCCAGTATTCTTGCCTGGAAAATTTCATGAACAAAGGAACCTGGGTTACAACCCACGGGGTTGCAAAAGAGTTAGACATGACTGAAGGGACTAAGTACGTGTCTTTCAGCAGTGCATCAGTGTCCAAGATGCAAGGGAATCTGAAAGTATGTCCCAGCCTCCCCCCAGGGATGCATAAGGCACTAGAAGTATAAAGCTAGGAGAAATGAAAGGGGGAAAGGAGACGAAGGAAGGTGAGGCAGAGACAGAAGAAGAGGGCAAGGCAGCAGATGATGTCAGGAATATGAAGTAAAAGCTCAGATGGGAAGTCAGAGTGCTGCCTAAATTATGTGTGGGTCTTAAACCATCCTTGCCAATCTGCTGTTTCCCCACAGGAGGTGCAAACTGTGTGTGCTGGATTTAAGGAATTCTGGCCAGGACTTCTGGAGAATGTGGTCTGGATCCAAGATCCCTGTGTCTTCAAGCTCATCAATGGTACCAGGGGCTGTGGACAGTTTGAGGGCCGAGAAGCCCTTGGCTCCCTTCGAGGTGTTCATAGAACTTCATCTCAAGGAAAAGAGCATGGATGGATTTCTCACCTACCTCCTAGAGTGGGTGGAGGAGAGGAAAGCTTCCATACACCTGTGCTGTAAGAGGCTGAGTATTCTTTCATTTCCCATGGAAAATATTATGAGGGTCCTGAGCATGGTGCGACTGGACTGTATCCAGGAGTTACACGTGAATTGCACCTGGTATTTGCCCACCCTGGCCATGTTTGCTCCTCTCCTGGGCCAGATAAGCAAAGTGCAGAGACTCCTCATCTCCCACATCCACCTGCCAGCTCCCACGGAGCAGGACAAGCAGCACATTGTCAAAATTACATCTCAGTTCCTGAGGATGCACCACCTCCAGTATCTTCATCTGGAATCCCCCTTCTACCTTGAAGGCTGCCTGGACCAGATGCTCAGGTGAGTATGCATGGCTGACCAGGTAATAGTAAACAACACTAGGATATCAAATGCACTATCCTCTTTGCTGTTCTATCCCAAACTGTGGTATCACACAACCATTCAAATCAAGGTAGTGGTCCAAACTGGGATAGAAGTTCTGGAAAGGGACATCCTGTTAGGGAGCTATAGACTAGGGGTTAGAATATAGTGGGGTGGGTATTTGATTTTTAGTTAGTGTTATCTTTCCTAGATGACTTAGGAAAATGGGTAAGGGAATGTGGCATCAGAGATGGACAACTCAACCAGGCCTGAGCATTTATAAACCAAAGCTGTGTGCCCTCCAATTCTGTGACCACTATAAGCCTATTTCAAATACCCTATCTGTAAAAGCTTGTTTGTGGATCCAGATAATGTAATTAATATATGGAAAACACATGATCCTGGAGTTGATAGTAATAGAGCAGGGGTCAAAGGGATCATAAAATTTGGTAGATAGTTTGCAGGTAAAGCAGGATGTAAGTGAGCCCCTGCAGACTGTCAACCTCAGTGGATGTCATGGGATCTTGCCCAGGTTGGTCCTCTACACATGTCACCCAGAAGCCTCACCTGCCTGAGATGGGTGCCCGGGGCCTAAGCATGATGGGAAGGAAGCCGGCCTAGGAAGCATTTTAAGTATATCTCTTACTTAACATTCAGTGATGTCCACTCTTGATTGAAGTAAGATGTCAGGCTCTCCTCTGAGCTTGTCCTAGTGCATTGCATTATCTTCATTCATCCTCATAAAGAAACAAAATAAGTTTTACTCTGTTTGAGTAATAAGGAGAGAGAGCTTTTAAAAGTACTTTAAAATATACTTTAAGGGATGGGTTGGGGAGGGAGGTGGGAGGGAGGGTCAGGATGGGAACACTTGTACACCTATGGATGATTCATGTGAATGTATGGCAAAACCCACCACAATATTGTAATTAGCCTCCAATTAAAATAAATTAAAAAAAAGAAAATTCCTTAAAATGTCAACCTAAAAAAATTAATAACTTGATCTTTTTCATGCATGAATAAAAATATCTGCTAAAAGGAAAAAAAAAAGATTCTATGTACTTGACCCAGTCACACAGAGAAGGTGAAATGAATGGCTGCAATGAGATTGGCCATTCTGGGTATTAATCCTTATTGGATCATTTGACCAAACTTGGATTTGGGCAGATCATTTGTCTCTCAACTTGCAGTCAAATTCCACCTCAGTTTCTAAGACCTAATTCCTCTTTCTCCCCAGGTGCCTGATGACCCCCTTGGATACCCTTACAATAACTCGCTGCCTCCTTACAGATTCAGACCTGACCATCTGTCCCAAAGTCAGAAAGTTAGCCAGCTAAAGGGCCTGAATCTGAGTGGTGTCATGATGACCTACTCTAGCCCTGAGCTCCTCCCAGCTCTGCTGCAGAAAGTTCCAGCCACCCTCTAGGAGCTGTACCTAGAGCAGTGTGGGATCAGGGACTCCCACCTGGAATTCCTTCTGCGAGCCCTGAGCCTCTGCATCCAGCTCACATCCTTCAGTCTGCGTGGAAACTTCCTCTCCATGGCCACAATGGAGAAGATGCTGCGACACACCTCCGGAATGCTCAGTTTAAGTCGAGAGCTGCACACTGTCCCTCGGGATAGTCTCAGCTCTCAGGGGATCCTCCAGCCAAGTAGACTTGCCCAGTGTCGGACTGAATTGCTGGAGATTCTGAAGGACTTGGGACGTCCCAGGACCATCTGGATTTGCTTCACCCCCTGTCCACACTGTGGAGATAACACATTCTATCATCCTGAGCCCATCATATACAGCAGTAACACCCTTACCTAGTTGGGTGCATTGATGAAAAGCTTTCTTCTGAGTACTTGGAAACTGAAATCTAGGACAAAGTACATTGTGAAGGGAAAACAGGCCCGTGGGGTCAGACATCTTCTCAATGTGAATGTGAAAAGGAAATGTGATCTTGCAGGGAGCAAAATTGCAGGGGGAAATGTAGTCTCCTTGGCAGTGGAATATTTGTGGACATGTGTCCTGTAGAGTCAGAAATAGGAACCTAAATTTCTTTAGGTGGATTTGAGGTTGAGACTCACATATTGAAGCTATCCCTGGGTAGATGGTTATAAAGATATGGTCAGAAATAAAGAGACCCTTATTGTAACCCTTCTGCTGCTGCTGTACATGATGTATTGTCTTAAATTTTCAGTTCATACCACAGGAATTGCCAAACACTGATTTTTTTTTTTTTTTAAAGGCACTGAGTTGTCTATGATCAGAAAACCTTACCACTCCCACCAGTTCCTTATTCTATCTGGGGCGTCTCTGACCTTCTTGCTTACTTCTGGAGCTGTTCAGTGGGTTTATACACTGAGTGGAACATACTGTGTACAGTGAGCCACTTGAGTGCAGATCCCAGGAGGACCCTCACTACTGACCCAGGCCATGACCCTGAACATGAGCAGTCCCTGTGATTGTCTTGGTCCCTCCATAAGGCAAAAAGATAGGAGTAGGTTGCCATTTCCTCCTCCAGGGGATTGTCCAGACCCAGGGATCAAACCCCAGTCTCCTGTGTCTCCTGCGTCACACGCTGGTTCTTTATGAACTGAGTCACCTGAGAAGTCACTTTTCTGTAAGTGGTAGTTTACTAAATAATTGTGTGACTAAATAATATTCATTTAAATACCTAAGATATAAATGCTCTTCAAAAAATTACAAAGGATATAACTATTTTGTTTGGAGTTTTAATTAATCTTTAAAATTTTAGTTTTATTTTAATGTGGATTTTTCAAAATGCTTAACTTGATTAGGCATCTCAGAAATGTAGGACTTAGAAACTGAGTTTGACAATCAATGAGCATCAGTTTTTCTTCTGTTTAGAAAATATTTAGTATAATAAAATTTGAAAGCAGGAAGGGTTACAGTTATATTTGTAAAAGTAGATTTTCTTTTTCAGAGTGATTTTTGATTCAAAGTAAAACTGAGAAGAAAGTACATTGAGAGCTCATTAACACATGACCCCCCAACACGCACAGCCACTCTACTTATCAGTGTCTTCACTGGTTCCTACTGTCCTCAGCTCTGGACATTAAAGGAGTTTTTCCACAAAGGGGAGGCCAGACCAGGGCTTCTGAAGCCACTGCAGGTCCCTATGCTCTTCCTTGATTTGTGTCAGGCAACCAATGGGATGTGGTTTGACTTTCATCTCCCATGACATTTCTATAGAGCAAAGCAGGCAATCTGGTGTCACTTGGATGACAACAACACAGTACTAGGTCTCATTTTTTCTCATTTCCTTCTGTAAAGCACAATTCTCAAAGTCTGAAGGCTGTGATGTGTGACAAACTAAATTGCAAAATTTCCAAAGACCATTCATCCCTTTCCTTGGCCTCAGCCAAAATGGGGGGATCCTCCACTTCCCACCCAAATTGCTTCTCATCTTTGCATCCAGAATGGATGTTAATTACCAAGTGAAATAAGTCAGATGGAGAAGGATAAATATGGTATGACATCCCTTGTATGTGGAATCTAAAAAGAAATGATAAAAATGAACTTACTTTCAAAACAGAAAGAGGCTCACAGACTTAGAAAATGGTTGCCCTGGGGGAAGGATAGGAGAAAGGGGTAGTTAAAGAGTTTGGGGTGGATAGGTACACACTGCAGTATTTAAAATGGAGAACCAGCAAGGAGCTTCTGTACAGCACATGGAATTCTGTTCAATGTAAGATGGCAGCCTGGATGGGAGAGAAGTATGGGGGAGAATGTATACATGTACATGTATGGCTGAGTCCCTTCACTGTTTACCGGAAACTGTCACAACGTTGTTTGTAAATCTGCTATGTGTATGTTAGTCACTCAATTGTTAGTCACACATTGTTAATCACTCAATAGTGTCTGACTGTTTGTGACCCCATGGACTATAATCTGCTAGGCTTCCCTGTCCATGGAATTTTCCAGGCAAGACAAGAATACTCGGATTGGATTGGGAAAGGAGTGGATTCTCATTTCCTTCTCCAGGAGATCTTCCTGACCCAGAGATCAAACCTGGGTCTCCTGCGTTGCAGACAGATTCTTTACCATCTGAGCCATCAGGGAAGCCCCAAATTGACTTTACCCCAATTCAAAATAAAATTATAAACAACAAAACAGAATGAATGCTATTCACTCTGTCTCTCCAAACTTCCTTTGGCCACTCTGTACCCTTGGAGTGGGGGTGGATCAATCAGTGTAGCCTAATGCAGGTAAGTGTAGGAAAATTCCAATTTTTTTAGGAATTCACAAGCACAAATCCAGGCCTGCAGTGATCCTCAGAGATCTAGACACAAGTTCCCATACTTGAAAAGACACAGCTCCGTGACGGCCAAAGTACATGATCTCCAGCTTATCTGCAATTTCCCTCTGCCACCCTCATTTTGGGTCCTACATCAGCTCTTCTTCTTTCTTGTCCCTCTGTTAAAAGGTAGAAGATTTGTAAAGGGAAAGATACACCCAACTGAATGCAGCATTCCAGAGAAAAACAAGAAGAGACAAGGCCTTCTTAAGAGAACAATGCAAAGAAATAGAGAAAAACAATAGAATGGGATACACTAGAGATCTCTTCAAGAAAATTGGAGTGATCAAGGGAACATTTCATGCAAGGATGGGCAAGATCAAGGACAGAAATGGGATGTAATAAAAACAGAATCGAGGAAGAAGAGGTGGTAAGAATATACAGAACTATACAAAAAGGGTCTTAATGACTCAGATAACCACGCTGTTGTGAACACTCACTTAGAGTCATGCATCCTTGAGTGAAGAATCCTTAGGAAAAATTACTAGGAACAAAATTAGTGGAGGTGATGGCATTTCAGCTGAGTTATTTCAAATCCTAAAGATGATGCTGTTAAAATGATGCACTCAATATATCAGCAAATTTGGAAGACTTAGCAGTGTTCAGAGGACTGGAAAAGGTCAGTTTTTATTCCAATCCCAAAGAAGCGTAATGCTGAAGAATGTTCAAACTACTGTACAATTACACTCATTTCACATGTTATTAAGGTTATGCTCAAAATCCTTCAAGCTAGTCTTCAGTGGTAGACGAACATGTTCATGTTTTAAGGACATCAGGATAGCAATAGTTTGACAGTGAGGGGTTAATTATGTAGAAGCAGAATGAGGTTTATCTACAAGTACCATAATTTTCACAGATCATTGTGAAATAATACTTACTTTACTAAAATAACAAAAGATTTTTAAAACAAATATAAATCACATAAAGGAAAAGAAATTCACAATCTGTTACCAAAAGCCATATTCTAAGAAAATTTTGTTCTCTTAACAGAGAGAGAAAACAAAATTCCAGTGTGTATCAGCTTACAGTTAATAACAAAATTTGTTTATCTGGTTAGTGTTAAAACATCTTTTCCATAAATTTGTAAGAAGTAGCAGTATTCTTCCAAAGACATCAGAGTGAAATCATAGAAGGCATGTTTAAAATGTGATTGTATTGGAATTGACAAAGCAACCTGGTCATTGCTGTGACATGTAACTCTTTAATATGATAACTAGAACTATAATTGACAATATTTCATCAGGACATATAAAATCTAAATTTTTAGGATACCTGTATTAGCAACATCAATCTTACAGTATAACCTAAGAAAACTTACCAGTCCCCCAACAATACTTTGCAAGTAATTTAACATGTCAAATGAACACATGCAGTTTAATATCTCTCTTTGGGATGTCTCAGGGGCCTTTTGAAGCACCCGAAAGTCAGCTAGAGGTCAAAAGAACTTCATTAGAATTTAATTTTAGGAAGTTCTGCCAAAAAATGTCAAAAGGGTTTATAACACTCATTCAGATAGGATAATATAAGGTCACTGTGAAACAACAGTTATTCACTTAACCAAAGTAACAGAAGCTTTCAAAGGTAAACATGGAACAGATCACTTTAGAGGTAAAGAAATTTAAAATCCTTTATCAAGGGCAGTTCAATATCTCAAGAAAACACGAAATTCTTTTCTTGGAGCCCACTTTCCATAGACCTCTTTTAAAAAAAAAACACACACAACAAAAAACCCTTTGTTCAATTAGAAACAGCCACCTTTAAGTCAGGACTACTTTCTTTTTCCTTAATAAAATGTAATTTCATTTTTTATACTTTTTTTTTTTTTTTTACTAAAAACACACATACTACTTTCCTTAAGTAACCATAAACTGTCCTTCATATTAGCATTCTGTAGACTGGTGAACATAAATACCAGTGATAATTTCTAAAAACATTTGCTTTGTTATAGAGAACATCTCAGGATGGCACCAAGCATAATTATTAATAGTCCAAAATCTCTTTAGTTTCTCTGTAAGAATGAGTTAGTGCTTAGTGATTAATGTTTCAAAATCTTATTTTACCTGGAAATGACCTAGCTATTCAATAAATTTTCATCACTTAGTTTAGCACAACCCTAGAAATTCAAGTTACCCTAGTCTGGAGAGACTCTTTTAGACAGACATCCTTAAAGTATAATTTTTTTTTTTTTTTTTATGTATGATGATTCATACTTTTGAAAATATTTTCACATTCATTCTTTTATTTGATCTTCACCAAATGTTGTAAAATAAGACAAATATTATGTCCATTTTATAGATAATCAAAAAATAATAAAAAATCTGAGCAAGTGAACTGACCAGCTCTAGTTTCACTGGAAGGTCATAAAATAGTTTAGAGCAGAGAATCCAGGCTACCTGGATCATAATGGGATCCCCTAACACACTTTGCAAAATTACTTAAAAAAACATGAAAGTTCTTGATCTTTTTGGGTTTCAGGAGTTTTCATCCTTTGGTGTTCCTGTTCAGT